CCTGACTGCCCCCGGACCCCCGCCCCTGACTGTGTGGCCCGGATGTAGCCCGCGGGCCGTAGTTTGCCCATCTCTGCGCTACAGGCAGGCAGGTCTCCGAGGCCTCCCCGCCCCACTGAGCGGGAGGGCCAGGCCTTTGTGTGTCTCGGGCACCATGAAATGGGCAGTTGCCATGGCGACGAGAAGTAGGCCATGCGGGGAGATGCTGGCAGGCCCAGCGTTGGATTCTGCAGAGCTGCCGCGGGGTCATCAGCTCAGAGCAGCTGAGCCAACCCCCATGCTGGGAGTCAGGAGCGGGTGGGGTTTGGGGGGGGGAGGGGGGACAGATGTGTCCAAGACCCCTGAATTAATCCCACTGCTGCCCAGGCTGGATGTGTGTTAGTGACCCCACAGATCTAACACAGTCCACAACAAAGGTGAATATCCTGCCGGAACTGTACGAAACTACCACACCATTATTTGAAATCTCTAAATACTCCAGTAATATAAAAGTACGAGAGTATTATTTAAAACCTACATTAATATTCAAATTATAATGTTTAACTACTACAGTAATAGTAAAAGTACTATCACGTATTTTAAAAGATTCAGTAATATTAAAATACTGCCCTGTTGTTTTTAAAATACTACAGCAATATTGAAATGCTACAGCATTATTTCCCCCAAAATACTAAACAATGCTAAATTAAAAATGCTACAGCGTTATAAGGAAAATACCATGATTTTATGAATAAAATCAACTACATAGTATTTTTGATAATATTGTACATTTAAAAATTATCATATTAAAAGAAAAAACATTACAGTTTTTATTAAAAATGCTAAATTATAAGAAAATGCTAAATTATAAGAAAAATACCTGCAGCATTTAAAAAAAATACTACAGTATTATTAAATAGTACAGCCCTTTAAAAATACTTCAGCATTATAAGGGGAAATGCCATGGTTTTATTAAATATATTACGTAATAAGAAAAATACTATATAATTGTTAAAGAAAAAATACCTGCAGCTCTACAATAAAAGTTATTGCTTTTGTATTAAAAATACTAGAGGATTATAAAGAAAAATACTGTTGTGCTAGGAAATAATACTACAATATTGTTTTAAAGATATTGCAGTATTACTTAACACCCCGCACAGTTTTATAATAAGATTAGTATTTTTAAACAAAAATACTACAATATAAGAAACCTACAATGGTATTAAAAATACTAGGGCATTCTACAATAAGACTCCTGAATCGTTCAGTAATATGGCAGGAAGCTGTAGTGTTTGGGATAATTACTGCATAATACTGTAGCATTTTTCTAAGGGTTAAGTGCCCAGAGTTTAACTAGCCTCTGAACAGTTTTTAAACCCAGAGGCCATATATGAAATCCTGGCCCTATTAAAATGAATAGGAGTTTAGCCATTGACTTCAGTGGGATCAGAATTCCGCCTTAGGGTTTCATTAACATCTGAACTGGGTTTAAAAAGCCAGAGGTCACGTGATTCCTACTCTGGGCTCCCAACAGTCACTGGTGCTCTCTCTCCTGCCTTCTGGGACAGAGATTAAGTGAATACAGAGACAAATTATTTTGCCCCAGAGCCTTTCTCTGCACCAAGAAATCGATAGCAGAACTGGCTGTGAATTTCTCCCCTAACCCCATGCAAAGCCGGAGCCAGCGGGGCTTTGAGCTAAGCCCTGGGAAGATGGAGCGGTTTAGATTCAGTAAGACAATTATCGCACTGTTGGCTAAAAAGGGGATTTGTCCTGGAAAGAGAAATGAGCCATAGCGCTCGGTCCTGAGGCCTTGAATCCCTGGGCAATACATATTTTTTTACATACATCTGCAATAAGGCCGGTCGGTAGCAAGGAAGGATAGTTCTGTGCCTAGGCCCTTTGCCCTACGACTCAGGAAAGCTGGGGTCAATTCCCTCCTCTGCCACAAACTGTGCGTGTGACCTTGGGCAAGACACTTAGCTTCTCTGTGCCTCAGTTTCCCACCTGTGCAATGGAGACAGTATTGCTGCCCCGTCTCACAGGGTGGCTTTGAGGTGCTCCGATACTATGGGATTGGGGCTGTCTAAGTACTTCGAGAGAAAGGGTTTACAATAATTTAATATGGGCGGATTATTGAGGAGCAAGGACGGAGTGGGAGATGCGTCGCTAAGGATGGTAGTAGAGAGATGGATTGGCTCTTCTACATGGACCCAGAGGTCATTTCCTCCACTGTGCAAGGAGGGTTGCCGGCCTTCCAGGAGTCTCCAGAAATTAAAGAATAATCTTTCGTTTAAGATGTCATGTGATGAAACCTCCAGGAATACGTCCAACCAAAACTGACCACCCTACATGCAAGGCCTAGCAAAACCCTGTGCAGCGAAGATGCTGAAGCTTGCATTGGCCTCATAGGAAAATCCATGTTGCATATTACACAGTCACATGGCAATCCTGCAACCCAGCATCCCGTTCACTGACACCTCCAGTTCAGTATCCCTCCGTTTAGCGCTGGCGAAAGGAGCCGGCTCGGGACTGAGCTGGGGGGTCTCTCTCCAGGGCTTGTAGAGGGCGCAATCTTGCTCCCATTGAAGTCAAGAGGAGTTTTGCCCTTGCTGGGTGCTGCCCCAGGGCTAGAACAGGGGCTGCAGGCCCTGGTTCGGAAAGCACCCAAGTCCCATGGAAGCCAATGGGATTTTAAGTGAGTGCTTAAGTGCTTTGCTGAATCGAGGTCCCAGTGAGCACAGCCTACTCCCAAACTTCTCTCCATTGCTGAGCCCAGTTATGTGACGCCGAGGGGTCCCATGTATGCCTCCTCCCCTCCCAGCCTCTGCTGCATTGGGGCCTATCTGGGCCCCTCTGCCCCCTGGAAGGCGACTGGCGCTTTGCTGGGTGTCTTTCTGGAGCACACTTGGATCTGAGAGCAGGTCTGGACAGAGCCAGGGTCCCCTAGCAATTTCCAGAGAGTTTGCTTGCCTGGAACGAGCTGCCGATGGGGTAGTATTTGGTGGGGGGGGAGGGAATTGGCATCTTCAGATGAAATGTTTTTTTGCTGCCGGCCTCTCACGGAGCAGAACTGGGTCTCGTGTGTATCTAAGGGCATGAAAACTGGTGTGACACATGCCTCCAGCGTCCAAGTCCCACTCACGCCCTATGCTGACCTTTAAGGTGTGGAACCCACTGATCAGTGTGTCGCAGGTCCCCCTCCATGTCCGATCCACAGGGGATGTGAGTCTGTCACTGCCCCAGCTGCAGACGCTGCAGAGACTCCTGTGGTTAGCTCTGGCAGGCTCTGGTTATGTCATCCACCTTACGCTCCCTCTGAGTCTGGCCCGCTGAGTTGAATTAACTGGGGTGTAATTTACACTCTGAGAGGGCAAATCGCACCAAGACTCACCCCTGATCTGGGCTCTATGTGTGCCCGATGCAGGAGACAGACAGAGAGACGGGACAAGCAGACCAGGAGAGGAGAATAAAATCACAGCACTCTGCATTTTCCAGTCCTCTGTGAAAGGAGTCCCCTGTACCCATCCATACACCACGGCTGCTGCCCGGCCTCCCAGTGGCTCGGGATGAACGGAGGAGGCTGCTTGCATGAAGTTAAGCTGGCTGGGTCCTCACAGGGCAGGGGGCTAGTCCGAGCCAGCCAGCCCAACACTGCAGCTGCTGGGATGTGCTCTGTACAGCTCACGGATTCTTACACATCCCCTCTCTCTGGTCTTGTAGCTGTGTGGGAAGCTGTCTGGCATGGAAGGGGGCGGGAGCCTGGACATCCCAACGCATCCCGAGGAGGGAGGGAGCCACCTGAGCAACAATAAGGTAACGAGAATCCCCATCCCTCGGGCATTTGATGGAGGAAACGCAGACGCTCGCTGGAGATGAACAAATCGAGTCCTTCCCCAGCTCTGAACGGCGCCAGTCAGTGTTGCGTAGCGGACAGAGCATTGGGCCTAGATCTTCTGCTGCCAGCTCCGCTGCTCACCTGCTGGGTGACCATGGGCGAGTCACTTCCCCGCGCCGTGCCTCAGTTTCCCCTCCTGCCCTTGGTCCATTGTTGCGTCTTTGGCTCTTTACACCAGAAATGTAAAATGAAGGAACCCCATAGGCACAGCAGGGTCCAGATAACTACGTGTGCTGACGAGGTACAACTCGCCAGGCTTAGCTGCATTCACACCTTGCTGCTCTGCCGGGGGTCTGGTGGCTTCAGGAACACAGAAGACAGTGAGCGCCGGCAGCAGGCACACAATCTATTTCAAGGGATGCTACCCAGTTCCTACACACGTCTATTCAGATTGTGCACTCTGACCCCGGTATTTGATTCGACGTTTCCCCCAGCACCGCTCGGGGCGGAAGGGGGGGGGGGGTCTCATGTTGCTTCTTGGTTTAATTGCACCAGGAAAGGGCTTGAGATTTAGATCCGCAAGCAAGCAGGGAGCCTGATTCTGTTCCTGCTTCACTTGTACACCAGTGTAAACCCACTGACTTTAGTGGGGTCGCTCGTGATTTCCACCGAGGTGAGTTAGAGGAGGATCAGGCCCAAGGTGCTGAGAAGGTTCAAGGACATTCACTGTGTGATCTTGGGCGAGTCAGGTAGCCTCCCCTCTGTGCCCCAGTTCCCCACACCTGAAGGATTAACCCCTGCCCCAGGCTTGTCAGAGGTGGCTGGCAGCTGCTGAGTGAAATTGACCTGTCTCTTGTCTGTTTCACTTTGCCCACCATTGAATAGACCCCAGTGGTCCCCAAACTTTTTACCTTGTGCCCCCCTTATCCCGTCCACACCCTCCCTCCTTGGAGTTGAGTAAGGGGGCAGGGCTGGGAGTGGAGCTGGGTGGCACTCCCTCCCTGCCCCCCGTGGGGGCTGGCCTGGACACCTGCTGTGCCCCCCCCCGAACGTTCCTCCGCTCCCCACAGTTTGGGGACCTCTGCACTAGAGGGTCCAGTGCAGCAGGATTTGTGCAAGGGGGTCTGGCCAGGGTGGGGTGCAGGGTAACCCACTGGGTGCTTGTGCTCTGCAGGTGGAAGTGGTCTTCTGGCTCCTGTCCATGCTGGCCACCCGGGACAAGGACGACATGTCCCGCACCCTGCTGGCCATGTCCAGCTCGCAGGAGAGCTGCCTGGCCATGCGCAAGTCCGGCTGCCTCCCACTCCTCATCCAGATCCTGCACGACACGGACAGGGAGCCGGGAGGCCCCCAGAGCCCCGGCAGCGGCAAGGACTCCCGCATGCGGGCCAACGCCGCCCTGCACAACATCATCTTCTCGCAGCCCGACGAGGGCCAGGCCAAGAAGGAGATGCGGGTGCTGCATGTGCTGGAGCAGATCCGCTCCTACTCGGAGACCTGCTGGGACTGGCTGCAGATGCAGATGCAGAGCAAAGACGGGGGCAAGGGCCCCGAGGGCAGCGCCGGTAGGGAAGGGTGACGCTGTCTCCAGCAGGGGGCGCCAGGGCCTGCTGCTCCCAGCAGAGTGTGAGGGGACACAGGGAGCACGGGACACCTGATCTTGATGCTTCTGCTTGGAGAGAGCATGTGTATGCGGGGGGTGGGGTGGGGGAGTCAGGACCCTGCACCCCCCTTCCTGAGATTCACCGTGACTCTCAGCCAGACAGTAACACAGAAGGTTTATTAGATGACAGGAACACAGTCCCAAGCAGAGCGTGTAGGTACAGCCAGAACCCCTCAATCAAGTCCTTCTGGGGGGTTCAGGGAGCTTAGACCCCAGCTTGGGGTACCCTGCGTTGCACCACCCAGCCCAAACTGAAACTAAAAACTCCTCCAGCAGCTTTCTCCCCCCTCCCCTCTCCTTTGTTCAGTCTCCCGGGCAGAAGGTGTCACTTCCAGGGCCGGCTCTGGCTTTTTTGCCGCCCCAGGCAAAAAAGCCTCTGGCTGCCCCCCCCCCCCCCCC